AAGTTGATCTTTGGTAGTGTCGTTGTCAGTAGTTGTTCTGTATAGTATACCACGCTTGATCTTCAGCTTGTCAAAATTTTTATACAGCATGTTGTGGAATGATGACGACGGTACATCATGCTTTCTGGGTTTCATCTTCTTACTGACTTTGACTATCCAGTATCTTATTGTAGAGTCGTTCATCTGCTCATCTCTGATGTTGATTTGATGTTCTTTGAGCATATCAGGTACGTTGTCTAAAGCATCTAGTTGGTGTGATAAAGACTCTACATATGCAACAGGTTGTAATAAGCTGCATATAGCCTTGACAGATTCCTCTGAGATGTTATCTGGTTTGGTGTGAATACCAGGAAGACGTGACAGTCCATCAGCATCCGCGTTGTTTTTTGCCTGGTCGATAAACGATGTTGAAATCGAAAGATGCTAATGCTGCAAGCCAACGATGTCCTGTGGCATCTAACTCCGCTGTGGTAAGTGCGTACGTCAGAGGGTTATTATCTGTATAAACTGTAAACTTCTGGCCATATAGGTAATCCTTAAATTTCTCTGTGACGGCCCATTTTAACGCCAGGAATTCTTGTTTGTGTACTGGGTAGTTTCTCTCTGATTTTGACAAGCCTCTGCTGGCATAAGCTAACACTCGCTGTTTTCCTTCCTGTGTCTGATAAAGAACAGCTCCAAGTCCATTAATACAAGCGTCGGTGTGCAGCTCAAATGGATGTTCGGAGTCGGGAAAGCTTAGTATTGGCGGTGATGCAAGATGACTTTTCAACTGTTGGAAGGCTTTCTCCTGTTCTCTATTCCATTGCCATGGTTGTTGCTTGTGGTCTTTCTTCGGTTTCTTTCCTTTAATCTTTTTTCCTGTTGTAGGCATCAAATCCGTCAAAGTGCGTGCAATCTTTGAAAAGTCTTTGATGAACTTCCTGTAGTAGCCAACGAAGCCTAGGAATTGGCGGACTTCTTCGGGTGTTGTTGGTCTTGGCCAATTAGTGACTTTGTCGATCTTATCTGGGTCTGGCTCAACTCCTTTCTCTGATACGATGTGACCAATGTATTTCACCTTTCGTTGGAAGAAAGAACACTTTTTCGGAGATAACTTTAGGCCAACTTCTCGGAGACGCTGGAAAACTCTCTCGAGGCGATCTAGATGTTCGTCTAAGGTTTTTGAAAAGATGATTAGATCGTCTAAATAGATGAAACAAATTCTTGCATGTAAGTCACCAAGGTATTCTTCCATCAATCTCTGATATGTAGCTGGTGAATTCGCTAACCCAAATGGTAATCGGTTGAATTCGAAGAAACCAAGTGGTCCTACAGTGAAAGCTGTTCGTTGCTTGTGCTCCTCCTCGTTGGGAGCCATTATAATAGCCTTGTTTTACGGGGGTTCCATAAACGACAAGTCTAGGGTTCTTTGACATCACTTTATTATACAAGTAAACATAGGGAAAATAACCCTGCAATAACAATAGCATATAATTATCACATTTATCAATATCACAGTCTTATTAAAGTCTTATACTAGAATCATACAAATAGTATACTGGTGTAATTAACAATGTTACAAGATCGTATGAAATATTCTATTCCATATACAATAAACTATACTGAGTATCAAGAATGCAGTGACAACAAACTTGCAATTATATATTACTAAATACAAATACATGCTTTTGATAAGTCTTATCAAATAGTATATCATTATAATCAACCAAGCGTATTATAAACAAGTCGAATGTATCGTACTTCATAAACGAGTGTCATTCATAAAACCTTTACCATACGAAGGTTATTAACTGTTCATTATAGTATTCTAGCTATTAAGTTCGTATGCACTACTGTGTGTAATGTTTAATATCTATTATCGAACTCAAGTTAACTGACATATAGGTACAATATAATATGACCCTTACCAATCTGTGGAACCAGGTTATATATATCTAACATCTACAGTACAACCAGTATGTTATAGGAACATCATAATCTATGTGTCCTGAAAATAATACACAATAGTAAATACTAGGATCTAGGAAAATAATGATCCCTTATACAAAATACAACATATTAAAGACTGATATAATAAAATCAAGCTATTACACAAAATTACCATATATGGCAATATTAACGCAATTGTCAATGTGACGTCATAGATCCATAACTGAAAGGTCAAGGTCACTTTCAAAATCATTCGTAAATCTCCCTTTCTACATCCAAACTACAGATTCAAATCATATATTCTCAGATTAATACATAAACTATCTTACTACTATCATATCTAAGGTCTATGGGCATACTTACCTATAAACGGGCAGAATTGTATAGCATGCACTGCATACGCCTTTCATACACCACAAAGAACATAAAATCTACTTACCAGATATAAAGAATGTAATTTCCAATAACTACAGTGATTCCAAAGTATGGAAACTTCAGTGAGTACTAACGAGCACTAAATAGAATGTCTCTAAATAAGTTTCATCACTATATACGGTTTAAATAAGAAGTAAATATTAAATATGTATGTCTCCAATTTTCAAGAATTAACCACCATTACTTCTTTTCCAAAATCTGAGGTGTGTCTAGAATGACCAATAAGAACTGACCATAAAGGTAAACAAGGTGTGACAATTAATTTACTAATGAGTTGGACGGGTAGATACAATTACAACTTTGCTCAATGAAGTATGACTGACTAGAACTTTCATACAATTTAAAGTGTGAAGAGATAATAAACTATAAATCAAAAGATCAAATGATCAGAGTGAATGAATAAAGTATAATATCTGGCATGTAATAAAATGTAAAATACTAATAAATGAAATATGTAAAAATATACTCTGTCACATAAAGAATAGAGAAATTGGAGAAAAAACATAAAATATAGAGAATAATGGGCAAAAAAAAAAAAAAAAGAATACAGAAATGAAGGACCCTCCCTCCATACCATCATTAGTGTGCGCTGTCTTAGTGTCGAGGTTAATGACGTAAAACCGGACGTTACGGTGAACAGTCTCAGTGTCCGAAGTTAATGACCAAACATAACGGTGCACAATCTCCTATACAGTTTAACTTTAAAGATGAGACGTCTTGTCACAGAATATAAGTTCCGCCATAATATTTATTCCAAAGATAATTTATTATGTAACAAAAGTTCCAATTGGAATTAATATTATGTGATATTTATTCCATAAGCATAATAAAAGGACCGATGCCTCGGAATTTTTATCACATAAAATAAATTCCAATAGGAAGTTTTATTACATAATAAATTATCTTTGGAATAAATATTATGGTGGAAATTTTATCGTATGACTGGTATAACATTTTTACTTTTATCATTTTGACCATTTGACATATCATTCATTAAAATGAAAGTAATCATAAATTACGGGGAAATTGCTTTAATAACATATATATACAAATCTGTCCGAAATTGATGCATATTTTACAAGCAAACAAATTGGAGTTATTTTGATTTTTTAAGCACAGCCAGGGAAATATTCATAAATACTATTTCTCCTATTCATAACTTTTCTCTTTGGTCTGCATACACGGCCGGATTCTTTCATTTCATCAGTATCTATTTGTTTATCATCAGTATCCTTTTCCTTTGTGGGTGAAGGTGATGGCATAAACAAATCTTCAATGCCTATATCAAATGTATTCTCATTAATCATGTTATTTTCATCATATGATGATTGTGTTATAACTATAGAGTCACCCATATCATTTTCAATATTATTGTTTTCATCATTTATGTCATTAATGTCATCTCCATGTACTTCTTCGTTGTCAGATTTCTCATTCATTGTACTATTTTGCTCAGGAGGGATGTACCTCTTGATATTATTTTGTCGGTATTTCCCAATCAATTTGTCGTTGCTATCAATAAGGGTGATAGTGCCTAGTTTCGGTAAGTCACTAATTATGTACGGTCCTTACCATCTATTCTTTTTTTTTTTGCAAGTTAAACCCTTTTCAAAGTGTTATTATGGTATGGTAAAAGTATTATGTAATATCTATTCCAAAAGGAAAAAGTATTATGTAATATATATTGTAAAAGGAATAAATATCATGTAATATCTATTCCGAATGGAAAAAATATATTGTAATATCTATTCCGATTGTAAAAAGTATTATGTAATATTTATTCTTATTGGAAAAAGTATTATGTAATATTCATTCCAATTGGAAAAAGTATTATGTAATATGTATTCCGATTGGAAAAAGTATTATATAATATCTTTTCCGACCCAAAAATAATTGTTCCTAATGTTGTAGACATTAAATAATCATTTCAAATTATCCACAATTACTGGCATGCATATTTTACATATAAATGATATTTGTCTCATTAGAATTAACATTTATATTTCACAGCTGAACTTGTTAACATATTTACTTACCTTTAACATAAGTACCATCATTTATGAACATAAATATTTTCTCGTACTCATCAGCCTCCATGTTTATACATTCAGGTGTTGTGTACAGGTGAATATATCTAACTCATTAACACTTTTCAATTTACATAATAATCATATAATCAGAATTTAAAAACCTGTTTTGATTTAGATAATAATCAATCCGGTGTAAACCAAACTTCAGCATAATAGGAACATTTGTTATACTCATCAACATATAGGATAAGTTCCTAATATCAGTGGAACAAATATAATACAGATGGAAAAAGTATTCCATGACAGAATTTCCGCAGAACAAATATTATTATAATATTGTTTCCCTAAGGAACAAATATTATTAGGAACAAATATACGTTGACAGTCTGAACTAATCAATAATGTCAAAAGATAAATTCTATTACCATAAGGCATCAGCATGCATAAATCCATTTAGCATTGTTTGATATATTCTTCTTTAATTTTACCATTTTATAGGAGCAATCTAATTACATGACTGTCCGGCAGAAAAAATGATCCCTATATACCTGATTGTAGCAGGAGCGTTTTACATTGTAACATACATAATTATGCTGATCAGAGGACTGTTCAATAAAAAGAAGGAGCTAGGAGATAAAGAGAAAAAGCTAGGAGTTGGACCTGAACAACTAATTATCAACTGTTTTGTGATAGCTTGGTTCATTGCAGGTATGATGTTTAAGGGTCTGGATGGGGTTTATAGAATAGAGAATAAGGGCAAAATAAAGAAAGAATAGAGAAAAATAGGACAACAAAAAAAAAAAGAATAGAGAATAATGGGGTGCTAAAATATAAAGAATAGAGAATAATGTGCAAAAAATACATAAAAATGACCTAAGAAAATAAAGAATACTGAAATGAAGGACCCGCCTTAGAGACTCTCATGTATGAGTAGTGTTCTGATATATAAATTATTGTCTATAGCAAAGATAGATAATATTCACCATTCTCTGTACAATAAACCTATAATTAATAGACTAAAACTTTTCAAATGACAAGGACAACTAGCAATACTAACGTTCATATCTTCATTTTTAAACTTGATTGCACAAGTGCAATGTTTGAAATATTGCACGCAAATTCTATGTTGGATATTATATATGCTTTGCTTTGTATGTTGTATTCTGTATTCTTATTTGCAACTCAATTAAAAGATGTTAGTATAAACACAACTTGTATTCTATATACATATTGATGTAATTCTTGCTGTACGAATTTGGTTAAGTAAGTAAGTAAGTAAGTAGGTAAATTTTATTTATAGTCGGGCATGATATGTACAATTCAACAAGGTAAACATGAGCTCTGTAGAGCTCTTAACCGACTTGATATTTAAAAACAAATAACAAATTATAAGCACATTTGACAAACTACACATACAAATAAAAACACATGCATAATATAAATTAATAGCTAAGCAAACATGCATAAATCAAAGCAAGCAATCTAAAAAGAAAAGAAAAGCAAATTTTGCTTTAACTGTCATAAAGACAAAAGCTAAGCAAATAAATAAAACGAAAGCAAACAATAAACAAAAAAACAGAACACAGGGCCAGAAGATTCCAGCTGTGAGACAGCAAAGTTATTGTGTACATGAGCTACAGTTAAGAGTGACATGTTGAAAAAACTATATTATCAGGTAAGAGGAGAGAGCTGACTCGCTTTGTTTATATTGACTAGTCCACTATGTGCAAATATCAAGTGCAGTCATGCTTTCCTTTTTAAAAGTTTTTCATATATGAAATTGATTAAGATCGAGAAAGCTGCATGTTTGATCATGCTATTGTGTTTACCGGCCTCTACCAGTAAATTAGTCTAATTTAAACTGTTACTGCAGTGTAAAAAGAGCCACTCTCAGATGGTAAACAGCCAAAAAGTGTTTACAGAGACTGTTGCACTTACAAATATAACATGACTTCTTTAAATTCGGGTTTTGCTCGCCTAACTTCGCGAAAGCATTATGTAAGGCCACCCTTAACAAATTATTTGTTTGATGTTGCCTAACGTTGCCTTGTAAGGTTGGGTAGGTAGGTAGGGATTTAATTTGTTTTGGCCAACAGCATAAGTTACATGTTTGAAACAAGAAAACAATGTTAGAGCACGAAAACAACTTAGAATTTTGTTTTAAGGTGGTACCAAACACCTTGACTCATTTAAGTTTGACTCGTTTAATTTTCATAAAATTTTGACAAAATATTAACTTTGACCCTTTGACAAAAATATAAAAAAATCAAAAAACTTGAACCACACATTTTATCGGAAAAATTTCATTGGCTATATAGCAGTTTGACAGAAACAAATTTTGATCATTGAGAAGCGTAACATTTCCTTAACAGTAGAACGTGATTAAAACGTTCGGCTGATTTTTACAGAGTTATCTCCCTGTAGTGAACAATTTGTGTCATACCATTTTTCAGATAGGCAGCTTTTTAAGTGGGTAGGTAGGCAACATTTGACAATTTCAATTTTATTTTTGGCCTAAAATCGAGTTCGCATGTAACCTTATCGTCAATTGAATGAAAAGTGTGTTACTTTTGTTTTTTAGGTAGTGTATGGGTGTATAGAACTTACGATGACTGGCAAAGCAGTAACTCCACTTTGGATAATTACTGCAATCCAACGCTGTATTACTTTTCATTCTGGATAATAACCATTTCTTATATCGGGCTCGGACTGTTGTTAGTTATGTGTCTAACTACTTGTATTGCCATGTGTATCTGTGGCGAGGATGAGTAACTTTGAAATCTGTGTGGATACTAGTAACTTCCAGTCACAAGATCAAACGTAACCGTCATTTTCAATTTTTCATCTAACGATTTTCGGATTCCTTCATTTTCCGCGTAAAGGCATTACTTATATACTATCTGTTACCTTTGAAATGATGTAGTCGCTGAGAAAGATACAACGCAGTAATAATGTCTTTGTTCTTTCAACAATGTAGTCTCGTTGAACCTGTTATAGTTCTCACGAGATTTATTATCGACTGTTACTCAGTTTTCGAATTTTCTTAATAAATGTGTATCATTCATGGATAATAGGCAATAAATAGTATTAATTTTGGAACTGAAAAAATGTACTAGAACTTCAAGGATAACCCTGACATTTGACCTGAAGTTACAACTCACGTGCTATACAAAGGGACGGTATATATATGTCATTGAGTACCATATTATAGTATATTATTGTTGTCAGCATAATCAAGACAACATGTAAGCGCTTTCCATTGGTCTGTTCCCAACTGTCAATCATAGATCATAGTACGATATGATATGTTTGGGTCTTTTTTTTTTTGTCGTTTGGTTTGTGTCTCATTGACGTAAACCCCTCGCCTCTTTTTATTTATATGCAGCGTAATGATATGCAGTTGAAACCATCAATATTATCATATGCAAACTTGATCTATGGTAGTCTTCCAGAGAAGCTTTAAAACATGTACGAGGGTCTAAATGGGGTTTACAGAATAGACGGAATGATGGGCAAAATGCAGAATGAAGGGCAAAAAAATAAAGAATAGAGAATAATGGTCAAAATTAAGGATAGAGAAAAACGCTTTAAAAGGTTTAAGAAATAAAAAAATGAAGGACCCCATTCAGACCCTCGTGTATTTTCATTATACTGTATCTATTTGTTTCGTTAATTGATGCATTTTTAGTTGTAAAATGTAGAGATATTTTTTGTTTTATCTTCGTTGATAAATGTTCTAATTGACAGGTTTTAAACTATGCCAGTGACATAATTACATTGTAATGTCTCTGATTACGCATATCATTTGATGCAATCTTGTGCATGGTTGATTCCGGATAATATGCCATAAAATGGAGTTATTTATAATCGGAAAATATAAAAAATGTATTCGATGAACTTTATACTTAAACTGTAAAAAACAGACATTCACTAAATTGATACATATATTATTAATAATTTACTAACCATGATAGTTTGTATTTAACTTAAGTTTTAATGGTATATCACGAAAGAAACACTTCGACAACTGAGGTACATATTATACTTGTTAACTTTGTCATTAACATTTTGGATACATACATGTAAAGTTTGAAGACAATCAACTTGTTTATTTATCTTTTTATTTCGTCTTTGGTGATGAAATTTTTTAATTGTTACAGCAGTTAAATTGTACGAATGTTTTCCAAATTTACAAAACTCCGGCAACGAACCTTTTTCCCCCAAATTATGCTAATTTGGGAATACCAGAATAAAAAAATTTTATCACAAGGCCTCTAGATTCTGAAACGGTGAACTATTTTTTTCTAGCGCAAATGAAATTTTGGATCAAATATATTGAGGTTCAGTATTTTCAAGTTTTCAGATATTTCTATATGATATATAGTTACTTTCATACGCTCTTTTTACATTAAAGACTATACTGTTAGTATATATAGATTAAGGATGTTCGCTCCTCTTGTTTTTGAATTTTTGCCAGATATTTGGAATCCTCTATTTTTATCCATGTAGTGTCATTAAAAAAACTTCCCCGCTAACCCCTACTTTTCTTTTTATAATTTTATTACTAATAGTTTAAAAAGCCATATTTGAAAATCCTATAAAATCCTTGTTATTTTTTCATAGTTTTTGAAAGAAAAAGGGTGCCACTGTTAATTGTAAGAAAAGTCTAGAGAGAATTATTTCCCGCCAAATTTTCAATGGCTTATATCTCTAAAACAATCACACGGACCCTACATTTTTTTCTGCTTTTTCAGTTCCTTTATTTATATACTATCAATTTATAATCTTATCTAACTGTATAAGATAAGTAACAAGTTTATAAATCACCCAAACATCTTTATTATATATCCCGTATACATATCCGAATATGAAAGATTACGTGAAATTCACAAATGTACAAATGGCAAGTAATTATAAACGGTACGCATTTTAGCGTAACATCGTCAAATCGAGAAGCGTTTCTTACAAGTCACTCAAAAAAAAATCTTCCTTTTCATTGCGTTGCACCACACTAGTGGTTTAATCATACAATTGCTTATAAAAATCTGAAAACGTCACCACTTTTTCAAAATAGAAATTCGGTGTCATGGTTTTAGTTTAGGTCATGGTACAGTACCAGGGCTATGCCCACAGATTTTTGTAAAATTTGACATCATTGGCTCGTTGAACGATAAGTTAATATCGAAAGAATAATTAATGTATCTCATTTATTTTCTAAAATACTACAGACTGAATTCTTTCAAAAAAAGGTGAACATTTGTATAGAAAGCACATACAAATCGGCGAAAAACGATCTTAAATTTGTCCGAAAATCATCAAATCTCCAATAACAAATCTACGAATTTTTTCAAAACAAAATGATATGCTGTTTGACACATTTTACGTAACCATGGATACTGATTGAATGCAAGATGTCGTATCGTCGCCAATATTACAACTATCCGCCATATACAAAATGACGTAGATGTAAGCAACATCAGATCACCATTTAGACTTCAACAATGTGCAAACCAATACCGTATATAGGTGCTGTAAAAAGTCCCGACAGAATAAATCTTATAAAAAAAGAAAAAAAATATGATATTTCTAGAAAATGCTAAAATATTTGAACGAGTTTCAATGGAATATTTTTTTTTCTTTTTCTTGCATCTAACATACGTGTAGGCAATCGATTCAGAAGACAAGCAAGGTAACAAACCAAAAAAAAAAAAAACCGGAAGGAATCGTGTGAACTCCGGATGCGTAGAGAAGTAAGCGTCTCCTGCAATGTATGGAACGCCCACCATAAGAATCTACACTCAGTCAAGATGTCACAATATAAAATATATAGATTTCTGAGTAAATATTGGTGTTTAACACTTCTTTCAGCACTATTAGCTATATCGCTGTGGTAAGTTTTTTATTGGTTTAGGAAGCCGGAGTGGCCAAACAGAACCAACGACCATTACCAGGAAAATAGATGTTTGAAGATGCAATGGTTGTATTTAAGTTCTGTTTGTATGTTATCCGCTGGTCAAGCTTCTAAGCTATGCCGTTTAGCGTCGGACTTTTGGCAAATGGGATTCTGATTATTCTACACACAAACACATTTGAGCTTGAAGTTCGATCATGATCAATTTGGGTTATAATAAATAAGATGAAAGGACAAAGTTGCACAACAAAGATTTTGTGACAGTATCACTCAAAATTAAAGGTTGAACTTCCACTTGGAAACTAATTCACATTTTTTATTATTTTGCCCATTATATTCGGACGTAAGACAAGAATTGATAATATCATTTGGAAGCCTACAATTAAAAGTACCAATGGACACCGAATTACTATTAAACGGCTCAAATATGATTTCAAATGAAGAAAACATTAGTTTATTTCTCATGGTACAAAGGTTCATTATTAAATCTAAAAGGTTTACAAACTAACAATTCACACAATATACCTTTTCATTTCATCTTAACAGTTTCATTTTTCTTTTCTTTTTCAGTTCATTATGTTACGTAACTCAACTGACATTATCATTATTTTTATTATGTAACAGAGCATGTATTTTTGATTTATTTGTGTGTATTGTATCTAATTTAACAAGGAGACAGATTGACATAAGCACTTGTTGCTTGTTTCTGAATCCTTTTGTGAATGTAAATATATATTGTAATTGTATAATTCATAATAAAATATTGTTTACACTAACTTCCATGTATAAAGCAGTTCTCAAAAACTTAAGGTGGTACCTAACACTACAGGGAGATAACTCTGTAAAAATCAGCTAAACGTTTTAATCATGTTGTATTGTTAAGGAAATATTAAGCTTCTCAATGATCAAAATTAGTGTTTGTCAAACTGCTATATAACTAATGAAATTTTTCTGATTAAGTGGTAGGTTCAAATTTTTTGAAATTTTTATATTGTTGTCAAAGGGTCAAAGTAAACATTTTGTCAAAATTTTATGAAAATTATACGAGCCAAATTAATATTAGTCAAGGTGTTGGGTACCACCTTAATACCACTATGAATAAAAAAGGAGTTCAAAGATCTTTAGCATGTCTTTTTTTTATATATCGGCCCAATTCTTCATACTACTAGTATTAGATTGGGATCATATATGCGGAACTGCGGTGGTAAGTGACAACTTTTAAAGTGTTATAACATTTTTACGTTGTTTTCTATTGAAACTTGTAATAAATAATTCCAATGAGGAAGTAAAATTGATAATGGAAATGGGGAATATGTCAAAGAGGCAACAACCCGACTAAAGAGCAGACAACAGCCGAAGGCCACCAATGGGTCTTCAACGCAGCGAGAAAATCCCGCACCTGGAGGTGGTCCTCAGCTGGCCCCTAAATAAAATTGTGTACTAGTTCAGTGAAAATGGACGTCACACTAAACTCCAAAACATATAAATGAACTAAAATTAAAAAAAACATACAAGACTAACAAAGGCCAGAGGATCCTGACTTGGGACAGGCGCAAAAATGCGGCGGGGTTAAACATGTTTTGTGATATCTCAACCCTCCCCATATACCTCTAGCCAATGTAGAATAAAGAAACACATAGCAATACACACAGTAAAACTCAGTTCAAAAGAAGTCCGAGTCCGATGTCAGAATAGGTAACAAAAGAAACTAAGCAAAATGACAATGATACATAAATGAACAAAGGACTACTAGCAGTTACTGACATGCCAGCTCCAGACCTCAATTAAACTGATTGAAAGTTCATGTCTTCATCATATTAAAATCAAGTACAATCCCTCTCGTAAGGGGTTAAGTATCATA